CGCTCACCTGACCACACACTGCTGTAGGGTGGGCAGGGATTCAGGCACCACCACCCCCCCTTACAGAATGCAAGGTCCTCTCTGCTTCTGCCAAGGAGCCTAACCCCCAACCCACATGCACCTCTATTCCTCCAGGTTCAGGGCCAACCTACTGCCCTTCTTCCCTGCTTCGGGGCTTCATCCAGAGCAGGATTTTGGTTGGCTACCATTCACCTGGTGACCTTGAGCCTCAGTTTCCTCATGAGGCCAGGCCTTCCGGTTGGGAAAGAGGGTGGGAATGGAGACAGCCCCGCCCAGGCCACCCCAGCAAGCCTCAGGCCCTGCAGCTGGGGGCCGTCTGCACGGGTGCACAATAGCAGCCATTGTCTTGGCCCTGGCTGGGGGAAGCCCACCCTGGGGGGCAGCCCACCCTCTGGGTGACCCCACCCAGGGGTGGGGGAGGGCTGTACTCCACCCCCACTGCCCTGGTGGTCCCACACCACCCCCCTATGCTTCCTCCCTCCCACCAACGCTGCTTCCTTTCCCTCCCTCTTTAATTAGTTCCTTTTGCAGCTGCAGGAGCTGCACAGGGCTAAGGCAGTGCGACCACCGTCACAGCCTCCCTGTGGGCCCTTGCGGGTGGGGGTGCCGAATAGCACACTGGCCAGCACCAGCTACCGCATGACGACCTGTCCCGAGTCGGGGCGCTTGGTCGCTGATCGCAGCTCCCTGCCACTGCGGCACCGTGCGGAGACTCGCCATCCAACCCGAGGGGAAAGCGACGCACTGGAGGTTCTACACTAAGGCCTAGAGGGAACTGGTGTAGGCCAGCGGGTGCACTCTGCCCTCCACACATTGGCACTGGAGCCCATGAGCACCCGACTGTGAGAAGGCCAGGCTTTTGTGCTCAGGGACTACACCACTCCAAGGAACAGACACACCCTAGGGCCGGATCACACACACTGGGGGCCGGTCCGCGGCTGGCTAAGCTTTCCCTCTTAGAAGGAGGCAGGCAGCCGCATCACCCTGCACCATTCCCCCACCTTCCCATCCCTGTGGCTCTTCTTCCCGAGCTTTAGTCAGGTGATGGCATAACTGGCCCCCAGGTGCTTTGCCAGCTTCTAGAACAGCAGGAACCTGGTTCTTGCTTGTCCCCTTCACCCAGCCTAGGAACAAAGAGCAGGGCTGAGCCTAGACCGGCTGTTGCCGGCTGGGGATGGGGAAGGGACGTCTGAGGTTGGCCAAGGTCAGAGCTGGAGAGAGGTCACAGGACCTTTTCTCCCTGGGGGGCTGCCCTCAGAGTAAAAAAATCAGTGTGGGCCAGCCTGGGGTGGGGTGCTAGGAGGTGTGGGCCTTGGGGCAGCTCCTTCCTCCTCCTTTCCCAGGAGGGGGAGGCAGTGCCTGGGTTGGGCTCTGGCTTCCTTGGGAATGAACCCCTGCCTCCCTGGGCAGAACTCAGCAGGAAGTGGGGGTGGGGTGGGGTCCCTGGGGACTGGGTCTGCTGATGGGGAAAGGGTGTTGGAGGTTTCCCCCTCCCATCTTGGGGGCTGTGCTTGATCCTATCCAGGGATATAAGCTTATGCCGGGGTCCTCCCAAGGTCTGTGAGGCAGACAGTATCCCCTGGAGGTCCTTAAACCAAAGTGACCCACAGCCGTGGCTCCTTCCCGAAAGCTCCCTCTGGCAGTGGTGGTGGGGTGTGCAGGTGTCAAAGCATGTTGCTTGGGCAGTGTTGCCAGTGTCCACTTGAATCTCCAGCTCCCCAGGTACCCTGCCCCATGGTCCTGTTCTCCATTTTGGGGGGCGAGAGTGAGGACAGGGGCTGTGGGGAGCCTGTGGCCCTGGTCCAGCAGAAGGACCAGGCCACCAGCCCTTCCTGGCTCCTGAATTCTTAATCAGCATAAATATTTACTTCCTTCCTTCCCTTCCAGGCTGCTAGCACAGAGGAGCTTCAGGGAGGTTGGACTGGGCCTTGTGTCTAAAAATAAACAGGTGGAAGGACAGGCAGACAGACAGACAGACATAACTATGGGGGTGGGTCAGGCGGAGGAGGATAGCTCCTTGCCCTCCTGGAGGAAGAGGGGACCCAAGGCCACCCATCCCTGTCGTTCATCTACCTGCCAGCTGGGGCCTGGGTCCTTGAGCAGAGGGTGGCATGCTGGTCTCCATGCCCCTTGTACTGCTGGGAGTCCCTGTCTAGGGATGGCCTAACAGATCTGATAGCTTTAACAGGGTCAAGTCACAGACCTGGGTCCCATGGCCAAGAGCAACTGGCTGTCCGTGCTCTGATCACATATGCCCGGGACTGGACAGTCTCCCGGTGCCCAGAGATGCCACATTGGCTATATGCAATGGAATCTGAGATGTCCTTGCAAGCAGAAGGTCTTCTTTATTGTTTTGTATTATGATTTATTTATAAAATTTCACCACATAATAAGAACTACCTTTAAAAAAAAATCAGCATTGGTCCTATAAAGGCCATTAGGGTAACTTCTTCAGCATATAAAGATGCCGTAGTACCAGTGCTCCCAGGATTGTTACTGTGAACTCAAATCTGCCTGCAAAGCCCTGCAAAGAACTACGTAGTTTCTAGTTCTAACAAGATAGTCATTTTGAAGCACAACAGTCTAATTAGATTGGCAGGCGACAGCAGAGGACCAGAGCCGTCTGTCAACCTCTGTAAGAGGTGTACGTGAGCCTTCCAGTTATATCCTGCTAGCTATACCGCCCTGTACAAAGGCGTTGCCAGGTCGTCCCCATTATGCCAGAGTTCCTCTGGAAAAACAAGGCTCTCCCCAGACCCGTGAGACTGGGCAGAAGAGTGAGTAAAACGTGGCCGCTGGTTCTGAAAATGGTTGCATTTCTCCACGCTTTTTCCTTTTCCTCTCTTGGACTTCTTATCGATAAGCAGGTCTTGAGTGAAGGAAGGGGCAGTCTTGGTTCTGGTGTTTGTGGGGGATCAGGGGAAGGATGACAGAGGCTGGGGGCCAGGGCAAGACTAGATAAAGGGTCGGCCTAGAGAAGGGGTGGGTGGGGATGTAGGGCTGACACACTCCAATGAGAGCATGCAGACAGTGCTACAGCTAGATTCATATGGGCCACCCTAGCACCCAAGGACACGTGGGGGTGCATGTGAAGTACTTTCCTAATGGTTTTTTTGTTTGTTTGTTTTGTTTTTGGTACCAGGAATTGAACTCACGACCTCATGCTTGCCAGGCAGATGTTGTGCTGCTGAGCTAAATCCCTAGTCTGTACTTTCCAAGTGGTGATTGTGCCCACCATGTCTACCCTTTTGTATTAAATTCAGTGAGTTACAGGATCTCACAGTGACAAGTTAGCAGAGAAATTTTTCAAGTGTACCATTCTTGACTAGTGAGGGCCAGGAAACTGGAAATTTCTCCCCACATGGGAAGGGACTGGTGCTTAGAAAAGAAATGTGAGTTTGGAGGGGAGAATGGGTCAGTGGAGCCCGCAACTCCATTTATATGTGAAGACAGTTACATCACTGAATGATTTTAAGAAAATGAAATTATAAAACAGGCCTGGGCCAGACGTGGTGGCGCACACCTATAATCCCAATACCTGGGAGGCTGAGGCAGAAGCCTCATTGCAAGTTCAACGCCAGCCTGGGCTACAAAGTGAGCTCAAGGGTAACCTGAACTGCCTAGTGAGACCCTGTCTCAGAAGGACAAAAACAGGCCTAGTGGCACACTTATAATCCCAGCACTCTGGTTTTTCTTCTTTTTTTTTTGTTTTTGGTACTGGGAATCAAACTCAGGACCTTGCTTTTTGCCAGGCAGGCGCTTGTGCCACTGAGCTATATCCTCAGCCCAATCCCGGCACTCTGGGAAGCTGAGGCAGGGGACAGCTTGGGCAGTTTAATAATTTATCCAGACAGTGTCTCGAAGTAGAAAACTAGAAATTGGGAATGTAGCTTAATGTAAAGTAGTACCTGGGTTCAACTAGCAGTACCACCAAAAAAAAGCAAGAAAAAGATTAAAGCATGAAAGTTAGAAGAACATTATTACCAGTAAAAAATAAGAAAAACCATATATATATATATATATATATATATATATATGTATGTATGTATGTATGTATGTATTTATTTATTTATTTATTTATTTATTTATTTATTTATTGTCCTTTTGAGACAGGGTCTCACTATGCAGTTCAGGCCGGTCTTGAACTCACTTTGCAACCCAGGCTGGCCTTAAACTCGAAACGATCCTTCTGCCTCAGCCTCCTGAGTGCTGGGATTACAGGTGTGCACCACCACACCCAGCTTATATTTTTGTATAGAGTTGATCTACTCTTATGAAGCCTGCCCCGCTTGGACTGGACTGGCCAGTCCCCAGCTGCCCCCTGGCGGCAGCTAGGAGAAGAGCTCCCAGTGGTTTGTGGATGCCTCTCCTTGGCCTCACCTGGGAGGTGGGGCCTTTTGTTTTGTTTTTGTCACATCCCTCCCAGGTATCCTTTTGGGGGGGGGGTGGCCCTTTGCCTGTGTCCCCAACCCTTCCCTGCCAAGTTTTGTATGCTTTGTGTAGGACAGGTTCTTAGCCTAGTTCTCTTGGAGGTGAAACAGTTGCTTGCTGGATGCAGGTGGGCACTTACCAGGTCATGGCTGAGAAATACTAAGTGCCCTCTTGGAGGAAGGTCGAGGAGGCTTGCTGTTTCTGGATCTTTGGACTCATGCTGGACAGACTTCCCACAGGCAGCTCCCCACTCTGTCAGGAGTGACAGATAGAACTTGGCTGGCCAGTTCCTGGGAGATCTACCTCAGGTCTTGAGTCTGGTAGCTCTGCCACTTCCTAGTTCTGTAAACCTGTCTCTAAGATGCACTTTCATGGCAAGATGGAGGGCATGAATGCCGAGTATGATGGTGCACACCTGTGACCCCTGCTACTCCGGAGGCTAAGGCAAGATGATTGTAAGTTCAAGCCCAGCCTGAATTACACAGTGAGACCTTGTCTGAAAAATAAGATTTAAGAAAAAAGGACTGGAGATGTAGCTCAGTGGGAGAGCAAGCACTTGCCTAGCATCCACAGGTCCTGGGGTTTACTCCTCAGCACTGAGAGCAAGGGAGACCAAATATGAAAATGAATATGAGCTTGGCTGCCCAAAAGATTCATGGAGGTAGATGTGGAACCTAAGCAGGCAAGTGGTTTTCTCAGTAATTCTTGCTGGCTAAGGCTATTCAGAGCATCTCCCTACCCTACTCCTGCCCAGTTCCTGTGTGCTTTAATGGGTGCAGTCTGTAGAAGAGGGTCACAGTATCACAGCACAGCCCCTGTCCTTCCCCAGGTTCCTGCTTGAAGACCATTTGGTCACCCTCTTCTGCCTGCTGCCCCCGACACTAGCCCCTCCTCACCATGCATTCCTTGGACGAGCCGCTCGACCTGAAGCTGAGCATCACCAAGCTCCGGGTGGCGAGAGAAAAGCGGGACAGGACACTGGGTGTGGTCCGGCACCGCACTCTGCACAGGGAGCTGGGCCTGGTGGATGACAGCCCCACACCTGGCTCCCCAGGCTCCCCACCTTCAGGTACTGCATGGGGCAGGGTGGGGGACTCGTGGGGTTGAGCCATGGTGACAGGAAGGATGGCTAGGATGTGTCCACAGGACAGAGCTGCAGTCCCTTGCAGCTTTGGTTTGGACATAGCTTGTCCGTCCATTCATCCTCCTGGAGGTTTAGCTTTGGATGAGGAAGCTAAGGCCACGCAGTCATGCAGCTGGCACAGAGACAGGATTCAAACTGAGGCCTCTAGGAGAATGTGATAGTGGTGCAAGGGGCGTCCAAGAGTAAGAGCAACAGTCCCAAGCCCTTGCCTCCTGGGCTTTACGATGGTACAGCTTGTTGACCAGGATGGTGGAGTGTGGGGACTCAGCCCAGCAACTGTGTCTCAAAGAATGTTTGGTGCTTGTGTCCAGTATACATTCACCCCATGTGTTCTACCTCCATGTGGACCCTGAGAACCAGAGTCTGAGTTGGAGGCTTGGCAAACAACCCAGCCCATACCTCCCATTTTATAGAAGGGAGTACTGAGGCAGGAAAGGGCCTGGGCAGAGTTGTATCACAGGGAGCTAGGTGTCTTGTGTTCAAGTTCCTATTCTGTTACCTTGTGTGGTAGGCTAATCCCATCTGTAAAATGGGTGGGTGCCACTTCCTGTCTTATTCCATGGCTGAGCTCTCATGGAGTAAAGGTCAAACACAAAAGGCAATATCATCACATCTGTTAGCTGTACAGGTTGCTCCTTAGATATCAGGGGATCCCAAGGTAGTTTGTGGAGACAGGGCTGGTGTCTGCTTCCAGGGTCACCACAGAGATAGGGACCTGGCCCACCAGGACATCTGGTTCCTGGCTCCCAACACCTCCTGAGTGAATCATGCCTCTCCCTTAGGCTTCCTGCTGAACCCCAAGTTCCCTGAGAAGGTGGATGGACGCTTTTCTGCAGCCCCTCTGGTGGACCTCAGCTTATCACCGCCATCTGGACTGGACTCCCCCAATGGCAGCAGCTCACTGTCCCCTGAGCGCCAGGGCAATGGGGACTTGCCTCCAATGCCCACTGCCCCGGTAAGAAGGGGTGAAGATTCTGGAGAGAAAAGGAGTATTGGTTTACAGGGGCTCCACGACAAGCCCTGGCAGGCTCAAAAGAACAGAAATGTGTTACTCTCTCACAGTTCAGAAAGCTGAAGTCTAAAGTACTGGCAGGCACAAGCGCCCTCTACAGCTCAAGGAAGAAAGCCCTCCTTCCCTCCCTGAGCTTCTCATAGCTTCGGGCACCCTGGCACTCCTTGTGTGGGAGCTGCGGCCCTGCAGTCTCTGCCTCCATCTTCACATGACTTCTCATGACTTCCTCCTCTGTGCTTCTGTGTCCATACTTCTTTCTCCTTTCTGTTGCAGACACCAGTCCCTGGGTTTAGGGCCACCCAAATCCAGCAAGATCTCATCTTAATTTGACTTCATCTGCAAAGACCTGATTTCTACATGAAGTCACAAGCACCAGTACCTGAGACTAGGGCTTGAATGTATCTTTCTGGGGACATCATTCTGTCCACTCCAGAAGAGAACAGAAGGGGTCTGGGCTTGCCAGAGGATCTCAACAGGGCACTAACCAGCTCTGTCCTTGCCTTTTACCCTAGGACTTCCAGCCACTGCGCTATCTGGATGGTGTCCCCAGCTCCTTTCAGTTCTTCCTACCCCTGGGCTCTGGGGGTGCCTTGCACCTGCCTGCTTCTTCTTTCCTCAACGCCCCCAAGGACAAGTGCCTCTCACCAGAGCTGCCCTTACCCAAGCAGCTGGTGTGTCGCTGGGCTAAGGTGAGTAGGGGCAGGGAAAGGCGGAGGGCTGAGGGTGGCTGAGGGTGGCTGTCTTGCTCAGACCCTGCCTGGCCCTGCAGTGTAACCAGCTCTTCGAGCTCCTACAAGACCTGGTGGACCATGTCAATGACTACCACGTCAAGCCCGAGAAGGATGCGGGGTACTGCTGCCACTGGGAGGGCTGTGCCCGCCACGGCCGTGGCTTCAATGCCAGGTGAGGGAGCGGGAACAAGGGAAGGAGGGAGAGGCTGGGTGTGCAGTGAGCTTAGTGCCTCCATGCCCTCCCCGGAGCAGGTACAAGATGCTCATCCACATCCGCACACACACCAATGAGAAGCCGCACCGCTGCCCAACCTGCAACAAGAGCTTCTCCCGCCTGGAAAACCTGAAGATCCACAACCGGTCCCACACAGGTGAGAGGTCCCAGGGGTCTCAGTCCACGGAGCACAGGGCTAGGCAAGTTGGAAGCAGTAGTAGGGAACTAACGCAGGACTGGACCTTAGAGATAAAGGGCAAACTAGGTGCAGTAGCACGTGTCAGTAGTTCCAGCTGATTGGGAGGCTGAGGCAGAAAGACTGCTTGAGTCCAGGAGTTCTACGGCAGCTTGGACAACACAATTTCCCATCTCAAAACAAACAAAAACCCCACAACCACCAAAAACATGCACTTGTTTCACGCAGTCTTTTAAACCTGGTGTGTATCTTACCCTCTCACAGCACATCTCTGTTTGAACCAGCTGTGTTTCAAAGGCTCAGTGAAGTTGTAGAGGCTCAGTTAAAACTTGAGCCGGTTGGTGTAAGGCTGCCAGATAAAAAGGGCAGCCAGCACTCAGTACTCTCCATAGGTCAGGCCTCTGCAAGGGCTTTATATAACTATACGAAGGCTGGTCGAAATACACAGCGTGTTTAAATAAAATAAATTACAGCCGGGTGCAGCATATACCCCAGCACGTGGGAGGCTGAGACAGGATTACAAGTTTGAGGCTAGCCTGGCCTATATAGTGAGCTCAAGGTCAGCCTGGGCTACACAGGGAGACCCTGTCTCAAAAAAAAAAGGGGGGGTGCTGGGGATTTAGCTCAGTGGCAAAAGCGCCTGCCTGGCAAGCGCAAGGTCATGAGTTCGGTTCCCGGTACCGGAGAAAAAAACAAAAAAAAACAAAACAAAACAAAACAAAAAAAAACCTACTGTAAAAGATACACTGCCAGTAACCTCTCCTCAAAATACACTTTCTTGCTTTGAACATATTTATCCCACCATTCCTGCCACTATTTGAAGCAGTTCTGGAAGTCCCTTTTTTTTTTTTTTTTTTTTTTTCTTCATCCAGCTAAAGTCCTCTTTTGGGAGCGTAGTGGAAGATCTGGGTGTGGTGGCACACCCCTGTGGGAGGCTGAGGCAAGAGGACTGCCATGCGTTCGAGGCCAGCCTGGGCTACGTAGTGAGTTTAAGGTCAACCTAAACTGCATAGCAAGACCCTGTCTCAGAAAACAACAGAAAAAGAGTGTAGTCAAAAATACAGCCAAGAGCTGGGGATTTAGCTCAGCGGCAAAGCGCCTGCCTGGCAAGCGCAAGGTCGTGAGTTCGGTTCCCGGTACCAGAGAAAAACAAAACAAAAAAAAATACAGCCAATGCTCCTGCTGAGCACCATCTAACAGAAAGGCAGGCTTGGAAAAACATGGCTGTGTCCCCATCCACCGCTATGGCAACACGTGCTTCTGGCTCTTCTCTCAAAGTCAAAATGATCATGAAAGGTAAACGTTTTGAATCAATTCAGGACACTGAAGTAGCCACAACAGTGCAACTAAAGACATTCATGAAAGAGGTCTTTCGCTGGGGATATAGCTCAGCAGCACAAGCGCCTGCCTGGCAAGCACAAAGTCCTGAGTTCAATTGCCGGTAGCCCCCCCACCAAAGAGGTCTTCCAGAACTTCAAGAAGTGGCAAAAACAATGGGATAAGTGTGTTTGAAGTGAGGGGGGAGTATTTTGACGGGGGATTAGTGTCAGTGTGATTTTTATTATAAGAGATTTAAGAATGTTTAACGTTTACTGTATTTTTTGATCAATACCTACTATAATCTCTAAGGTCAAGTTCTGTCCAGTGAAGTTCACCCAACCTGTAGCACAGGAACTGAGGGGTGCATAGCAAGAACACAGCAGAGAGCTGGGGCCTAGCCATGCTGGGTTCCTCCTTCCACCCCTACCTGGGTCAAATCTTGGGTCAGGTGTTAGGGTTACTCCCCAGTCAGACAGCAAATGCTCTAGGTGATTGGGGGTGGTGGTGGGGGATGGACAGTGTGAGGCGGGGGATGTGACCCCTCACATGACCTACCCCTGCAGGTGAGAAACCCTACATCTGCCCCTACGAGGGCTGCAACAAGCGCTACTCCAACTCGAGTGATCGCTTCAAGCACACTCGCACCCACTATGTGGACAAGCCCTACTACTGCAAGATGCCAGGCTGCCATAAGCGCTACACGGACCCCAGTTCGCTGCGCAAGCACATCAAAGCCCATGGACACTTTGTGTCCCATGAGCAGCAGGAGCTCCTACAGCTGCGCCCACCCCCCAAACCGCCACTGCCTGCCCCTGACAGTGGCCCCTACGTCAGTGGGGCCCAAATCATTATTCCCAACCCTGCTGCCCTCTTTGGAGGTCCCAGTCTACCTGGCCTGCCCCTGCCCCTGGCCCCGGGTCCCCTTGACCTCAGTGCCCTGGCCTGTGGCAATGGTGGGGGTGGTGGGGGTGGAGGGAGCATGGGCCCTGGGCTGCCAAGCCCTGTCCTGCCCCTCAATCTGGCCAAGAACCCGTTGCTGCCCTCCCCGTTTGGGGCTGGTGGACTGGGCTTGCCTGTGGTCTCCCTCCTCACTGGCTCCGCTGGCGGCAAGGCCGAGGGGGAGAAGGGTCATGGGTTGGTACCTGCCCGGGCCTTGGGCATGGAGGGCCGCAAGACTCCCCTTGAAAGGACGGAGAGCAGTCGCTCCCGGCCAAGCCCTGACGGACTCTCCCTGCTGCCGGGCACTGTGTTGGACCTGTCCACAGGCGTCAGTTCAGCAGCCAACAGCCCAGAGGCGCTAACCCCGGGCTGGGTGGTCATCCCGCCAGGCTCTGTGCTGCTCAAACCAGCCGTGGTGAACTGAGCCCATCTGCCCACCAGCGATGCAGTGCAGCCAGCAACTCCAGGCCCCTGCCCAGACGAACAGAAACCCTTCTGCGAAACAGCAATAATGTTCATTGCCCTGCGGCCTGCTGGTCTGTGCGCCCCAGGCAGCTGCAGCCTCAGATGAGGGGGCAGCAGGCATGGTGCTAGGTCATTGCTGGCTTTCTGGCTCTCAAGTGAGGACCTGGACTTGCCATCCAAGGAGAGCAGTGCTCTTGGGTGCTGAGGCCTCACTCACCTCTGGCCCCTTGCCCCATAGTTTCTGTGACGCCCCCCTCTGCCCATCCTCCCCTTCAAACCTTCCTGACTTCCTACCCTGGTGCCTCCTTTATCTTGTGGCTGACCTGCGCAGGTCACTTTCCCTCCCAGTTCTACCCACTGGCCAGCAGAGACTGTTGCCCAAGTCCCAGCAGTGAGGCGTGTAGGGTAGCATCTACCCTGCCTGCTAGGATCAGGCTCCCTGGCCACTCCCTTCACCTGAGCCATAAGGAGGAGTCCCCAGGGATCAGAGGCCCCAACCCCGCCTAGGCTCACCTACCCCTACCCCAGCTTCTGGACCCCTTTCCCTCTAGCCCAGCCCTCTGGAGGGAGAGCAAGATAGACGCAGGCCCAGCTAAGCCACAGGAAGACACCACATTCCCCTCCCGCCGCCTCCCCCTACGACAAGGTGCCTCCCTGACTACTGGAGAAAGGAGGCCTGCTTGGTCAGCTGCCCCCACCCTTTGCCCAGCCTAAATCAGCACTGACGGAAGGTTGGCCACATTAAAAAGAGAAGGGTTAGCTGACCACTCACCTGTCCCTGCACCTGGATCTCTTCCCTCTCTCTCTGGGCACACTGGAAGTACGGGAAGTGGGTCCGAGGGATCCAGCCCTCTGGCCCAACCTGGGCTTCATCTTTTTCAACATAGCTAGACATAGCTGAGGAATGCCACCCTGCAGAAGCCTGCAGGGCATGATCCAACACTCGGAGAGGGGAGACTGCCTGGGCCACCCCAGGCTGGGAGGCAGCTCCAGGTATGGGGGTGCCAAACCATGGCGTTCCTGGGAGGGCCTGAAGAGATCTGAAGAGGTTGTGGACTGAAGGCCCTGGGCTTGGGGGAGGACAGGCCACCAGGAATGCTTGCCTGGCCCATGTTGGGAAAGAGCTGGCTGAAGGGAGGAACCTGGCTTGTGACAGGATTGCTTCCTTTAGTTTTTCCCAGCTGAGCTCTTTTCCTAGAGGCAGTCTCCCCTCCACTCCGAGCCAGCTTCTCTACAACTTGTGCTCCTCAGAATAGGGTCTAGCTGTTCTGCAGGAGCTAGGATAAGTCAAAGACGCTGGAGATGTATGCTCCACAGCCCCACCACCCAATCCCAGGAACCTGGGCCCTGCAACATACCACCACCACCACCACCACCAGGCCTCTTGCTGCTCCCTTCTCTGCCAGCAACTGGGAGCCCTGCCACTAGACCCCAGAGTGGCCAAGCTCTTCCACCTCCCTGTCTGCAGAACAAAAGAGCTGCTGGGTGGCAGTGAGGTCCTTAGTACCCCTGAAGTTACTCTGAGCAGCTCTGCTGACCCCACTCTTTGCTGGACTGCCCTTCTGCCCCAGAGGGGTCACCCTGATCTGGCCTGCCTGGATGCTGGGCCTCCGAACCCAGCCCTGACAGGCTCTGGCCATGTTAGCTCTGCCCCTTGAAGGGGCTGTGAGCAAATAGGAAGGAGCTGGTCTCCTTTCTTGGGCCCTATCCAGGACCCAAGTACACCCCCCACCCCCAAATCCCTGTCAAGAGTCCCAGGCCTTAAGTCTCTCGTTGGGGGATTACGGGCTTGAGACTCAAGCCCAGGAGCAGAGGAACAGGGCACTGGAAGGTGACATTAGCTCAGCATGTGATTCTGTGATAGACCAGGCTTGGAAGGGCCGGTAAACTTTTTGTTGTTGTCAGTTTGTTGTTGCACATTCCAGGATATCAGTATTTTAACAGGTTCTAAGTGCCTTTCTATTGTAGCTTATGTTTTTCCTCCTCTTGGCTCCATTGCTGTTAGCATAGAGTTTAAAAAAAGAGATAAGCTAATGACTATAACAATATATTCCTCCATGTGAGAGGAAGTTTATAAAGAATAAAAGTGAGTTGCGAAGATGGTTTGTGTGTCATGGCTGTGCCTGGAGCTGGGCTGCCCGACTCCAGGCCACCCCATCCTATGTCTTGCTGCAGGACCCCCCAAGTGTCACATCAAAGACCCCAACCAGGGTCTTTCTCGACCCTGCAGGTGCCACTCTCTTACATATGGCCGGGAGTGCTTGGGAGGGGACAGGTGTCAAGAGCAGAGAGAGGATTCTGGGCTGTGCACATTACAAGTGCCACTGCCTACCTTGAATGGTAAGTGGCATCTCAGTCCACTGAACTGGATGCTGAGCATTCTCCCCAGCTCTCCATGATGCCAGACTCAAGCCCAGCCCAGGGGTTCCTTTACCCTGAAGGGAGGAGAAGACCTGAGGATGGCAACTGGGTTTCCACCTAGCAGGGCACAGGAAGGAGCCAGGCACTGTGGGAGCAGAAGGAGTTTTGTGATAGGCCTTGTCTCTCATGTGGGCCATCTGCCAACCCTACCCTCATCCATCCTCTGGGCGACCAATGGTTCCAGCCTCCCATCCCAGCATAGTCCTGCAATCCCTACAGCAAGAAGAGCAACCTGCCTTCTAGAATTGGGATACACGCACAGGAGAAATGCAGGAAAGACATTTATTGCCAAGCTATAAATTAAGAGGCAGTGGGGTGGGGTTGGAGACGAACAGTCACGTTTTAGGCATCTGCCCTTTTTCTCTGTCCTCCTGGGCCTGGATTCTGAGTTCCTCATCCAGGCGCTCCTTTGCACGGACGACCTGGGGAAGTCAGGAGATCAGGCTCTGGCAGAACCTCTGCCCCTTGCCTCTTGGCTGCACGGCTGGCCTCTTCCCTTCCTTCCTTGGAGGGCAGTAGGTGGGGTATGAACACCTCCTTTAGCAGTGTCCCAGGGGATTGCTTCTCTGCCTTCTGGCTAAGATCAACAGTAGCAGTGTCCCAGGGTAAGGGGCAGTCTGTTACAGCACTTCCTCCAGGGGAGCCCGGCACTGGGCATCTGTACTTCCGCAGGCACAGTGCGGGTCTCTACACTCCCAGTGGTTGCTCCTGTTCCTTCAAGGTCCCAGCTGCTGGGAGGGCCACTGTTCCCTCAGCTGAGCACTGCAGAACTGGGGCAGCCACAGGGAGTGGCAGTTTGGAAGGGGCTCACCGAGGCTGAGGCACAGGGAAAGAAAGGCCTGCCAAGTCGCTACATGCAGCTGCTGTGCCTGGAAATGAGGGGCCCATGTGAAGAGGAAGTCCACAGCTTACCTTCGCGCAGAATGAAAGAGCACTCACCTTTGACTGCAAGTAGAAGGAGCCACCCACGGATTTATCATTCACTTTAAACAGGTGTTCATAGTTCTGTGGCAGAAAGGAGGTGGTGAGCAAGTTCACAGTCTTGGGCGAAACACTAGGGGAAGCTAACAAGGAAGTAAAGCTACACAGACCTCTCCATCTCCCAGGCTGTACTATGTAATTCCAGAAGCTGCTATGACCACTTAGGGTCAGAGATGGGACAGGTGCGCAGAGAGAGATGGGCTCAGCTGCTCCTCCCAATTGCCCCACATCTTTCCAACTGCCCTGCTTGGGCCTAAATTTTAATAACACTGGCTCCTTCAAGTGGGAATCTCTGATGGCTGCAGGCAGAGCTCCATACCCACCCATCTTTGCCAGCCCCCCTCCAGCCCCAACTTCCAGAAGCCAGTCTGGTGGCCTCACCTTCTGGATCTCCTCTGCACTCAGCTTGGAGATGTTGAGAATCTGCTGGGCCTCCTGGAGGCTGAGGCCGGAGAGGTTGGATGCAGCTGCAGACTGGTGTCCGGCACGTCCCCGGGCGTCAGCTGCTGCTCGGCTGGCTGTGTGAACACGTGGGTGGTCACTCTGCCCTCAGCAGCCCAGAGCTCCCCCGGGGGCTTCAAGTGGGTGGCTCACCACTGACAGGTGGTACAGAAGAGACACACAGGGACAGAAGTGGCCAGGAGAGATTCTTCTCTAGTAATGGCTTCTTTTTGGGGGCAGGGTTAATGGGAAAACAAGGACAGATATGCTTCACTGGACGATCAGGGCAGGATCTGACCATAAATCTTGGCTCCTGAGCTGGGTGTGATGGTACATACTTGTAATCCTAGTGCTCGTGAGGCTGAGGCAGGAGAACTATGGGTTTCAGTCCAGCCTGCCCTACACAGTCCAGCCTGCCCTACACAGTCCAGCCTGCACTACAAAGCTAGATCCTGTCTCAAAACAAAAACACCTGGGTCCTGGTCCCCAATCTAGACAAGATGACCTTGTACCTCATTTTCCTCTATCCCTCACCTGAGGGGCACAGCAAACAGGGGCACCTGAAGCTACTATGGAGACCCAACAGAGTGAAGGTAAGAGCAACTGGAGAACAACAGCTTGGCCAGTACCTGGCTGTACGGCAGATACCCAGACCACCAAAGCAGACTGCCTTGGGTGACTGCTTCCCTTTCAATGACCCTAAAGTCAGCAGCCAAACTTTCCCTTAAAAAGGTTAGCAAGTATTTTAACTTTGCAGCCAAATAATCTGCACTTCCTTGCAAGCAGCCAGAGGGTATGGTTATGCTCTAATAAAACTTCATTTACAAAAACAGGTAGCCAGGTGAGCCAAATGCCAACTCCTGCCCTGGATACTCATGTTAACCAGGTGTCAATGAAAGTAAATCTTCCCTTACACGAGGAAGTCTCAAAATTGGACAGTGCCCCCTTAGCATGGAGAAGTACCCATGGATCTCCTTGGCACTCAGCTTGGAGATGTTGAGAATCTCCAAGCCACAGACCCCCAGCCCGCAGATGGATCCCTGCATTCACAACCAGCGCGGCCTATGGGGGAAATCTGACCTGGGCAGGAGCTCCCAGCCCAGGGGGAGACGAGCCCAAGCTTACCTGCAAATTCCTGCCGCAAGGCTCGAGCAAAGGCTCTACCCACCACCTGTGCGCCCATCACAATGATCTGGGCCAGGTACTTGGCCTGTGGGCAGAGCAGGCACCTGGTCAGCAGGCTGCATTCCTAGGGCCTGGAAAGGTAGTACCCACCCTAGAGATGGCGGCCAAGTGGCAAGGCTGCCGGAGAGCTGAAGGCATGAGGCCCTGAGCTGCAGCCACAGGCCACCTCTTCCAAGGGGCCTTGATTAAAAGAAAAAGCTTCTGGGGGTGGGTGTTCCAATAGCCTCTGGCGTCCCCAGAGTTAGGGCAGTCCTCCCAGGGCCTTCAGGAAAGGCAGAGAGGAGCCAAGATGATGTAGCTGCACATGGAGAACACAACTTAGGAAGAAACCCTGCAGCCTGGCCCCAGGACCCCAAATAGCTCCTCTTTTTATTTTTTTAAATTTATTTTATTTGGTACTGGGAATTGAACTCAGGACCCTGCACTTGCCAAGCAGGTACTTGTGCTGCTGAGCTATATCCCCAGCCCTCTATTTATTTATTTATTTATTTACTTACTTACTTACTTACTTAGTCTTTTTTGAGGCAGGATCTCACTATGCAGTTCAGGCTGGCCTTGAGCTCACTTTGTAGCCCAGGTTGGTCTCAAACTCGCAACGATCCTCCTGCCTCAGCCTCCCGAGTGCTGGGAATACGGGTGTGTGCCCCCACGCCTGGCTAGCTCCTTTTGTGCTTCTGAGATTGGCTGGTCTATCCTCCATTTCACCAGGGGCGTAACTTTCCCCAAGACTATTCAAGTCCTATACTTGGAGTCCATTCCAATCAACACAACAAAATTACTATAATTCACTTCAAGCAAGACAGTCTCCACCTACAGGAGCTAGAAGCTCACAGGAGGGTATTCAGACAATGACTAAGGGCTCCGGGATTGGAGACAGTACAGCTGGTTTATCTCTTCAGCCACTGGTTCAGCCAAGTCATTCCAACTCTGGTTTAGGGCCTGTGTCTATAATGCTCCGTGCTCAGCATGTGAGTACAAAGACACACAGCACCTGGTCTCTACCCTCTGAGTTGGCCACAGACCCACACAGCCTGGCAGGGAAATTGGCTGCAGCACAGCAAGGTTATACAGACCTTCAACCTTTTTTTTTTTTTGAGACAGGGTATCGCCATGCAGTTCAGGCTGACCTTGAGCTCACTTTGTAGCCCAGGCTGGCCTCGAACTCACAACATTCCTCCTGCCTCAGCCTCCCAAGTGCTGGGATTTTGGGGCTGGGGATTTAGCTCAGCGGCACAGCGCCTGCCTGGCAAGCTGAGTTCGATTCCTGATACTGGAAAAACAAACAAACAAAAACCCCAAGTGCTGGGATTACAGGCGTGTGCCACCACACCCGGCTAGACCTTCAACTTTTGACTCAGTATCCCTTAGAGGCACCTGGGAAGTTAGCTGAGACCAGAAGTACACAGTCAACAGAGGCAGCACTTAGGAACAAGACATAGGTGCTGGGAAGAGATGGTACTTTTCCTGAGCTGGGTTCTAATGGGAAGATAAAACTTTGAGAGTATATTAGGGCTTTCTAGGCACAGGAAGGGGGAGGAAAAATATAAGGGACATCAGCGAGCAGCCAATAGCCTGGGCTGGCAGGAGATAAGACAAAAAAGGCAGACAACATGAAAAAGCATACAGATCTTACTGTGAAACAGAAATAATATATAGAGAGCATGGATAAAAAATGATCCCAGCTGGGGATATAGCTCAGCGGCACAAGCATCTGCCTGGCAAGTGCAAGGTCCTGAGTTTGATTCTCGGTACCAAAAAGAAAAATGATCCTCTGGGAGACTGAGGCAGGAGAACCTCAAGATTGAGCAGCATAGCCCAGTCAACTTAACAAGACTGCTTCAAAATATTTTTAAAAGGGGGGGACTCCAGTACCCCCCCAAAAAGAAAAAAGTCTGTAAAAAAAAGGGGGGGTGCGTCTCAGGAGCCAAGCATGGTGGTGCAGGCCTGTAATCCTATCATTGTGGGAAGCCAAAGCGGGAGAATTCCCAAATTCAAGCCTAGCCTATGCAACATAGCAAGACTGTCTCAAAATAAAAAATGAGCTGGGCCTGGTGACACACGCCTATAATCTCAGTGCTCAGGAGGCTGGGGCAGGAGGACTGCCATGAGTTCAAGGTCAACCTGGGCTACATAAGAGAGTTCAAGGCCAGCCTGCACCAAATAGGGAGACTGTCTCAAAAAACAAACAAATACTGAAGGGTTGAGACTATAGCTTACAGCAAAGGCCCTGAGGTTCAATCTCTAGCACTCAAAAAAAAAAAAGATCCCATGTTCCCATGTCTGTGAAAGGGTATAAATAGAGGCACATAGGACACTGAAGCATATTCACTGTACTCTTCTTATATGTCCCTGTAGTTAGATTTCCTGTCAGTCAATAGGGTTTTTGGTTTGCTTTGGTTATTTTTGTCTTTTTGAGACAGGGTCTCGCTATGCAGTTCAGGCTGGCCTTGGGCTCACTTTGTAGCCCAGGCTGGTCTTGAACTCTCAATGATCCTCCTGCCTCAGCCTCCCGAGTGCTGGGATTACAGGCGTGTGCCACCATGCCCGGCCTAGTAAGTATTGACTGAGCTTGTATGCCAGGTGCTGTGAACATATTCTACTGTTTGTGCCATTTAATCCCCATAACTCCAAGGGGCTTAGTGACCAACCTGAGAACACATGGCTGGTACTCAAGGGAGTGGGGAGGGGAACTCAGACCTGGTGCAAAGCCATCCACTGGCTGCTGCCTTCACAGAATCCTGGGGCTTTGAGGAAGGCAACTGTGCAAACTGACCAGTATCAGGAACCCAACCCAGTGGCCAAAGAGGGGCTGTCTGATTCCAGTGGCATCCAGACTCTACTGGAATTGGCCTCCTTTGGCTCCCAAAGTCCTGCCCTTCCCTAATAGGCAGGGTGTGATTATGGTCCATTAGAGGACTGAATAAACAGAAGTGGATTTCCATTTTGTAAGTAGGTGGAGATTTCATAAACCCTGGATTTCACACTAGAAAGCAAAGCCAGGAGAAGACCCTTGGGTGATCAAAGTTGGGGAGGGAGGGCAGTCAGTTGTGCTGCGGGTATTAGGAGTAACAGGGCCCTTGCTTACTAGGTAATCTCACCGAAGTTCTGCCCTCCTTGCCTAAAGCCGCTCCTAAGTGGGACAGGAGGCTTAAACAGACTGGTCCTGTCTGACAGGCCATCAGTGACTCCAGAGGGCATTCCTGACCTAAAACACCTTTCAAGGTGACCTCACCTTCTACCAAAAGCCTCTGACCCTATGCTGCCACACATCACACATGGCCTTGCAATCACTGGCTTACTTTTCTACGAAACTGATGACTCCTGCTAGATAATGCATGTTAAGAATTGAAGTCCTATAGCTGGGCGTGGTGGCACACACCTATAATCCCAGCACTCGGGAGGCTGAGGCAAGAGGACTGTTGTGAGTTCGAGACCAGCCTGGGCTGGAAAGTGAGCTCAAGGACAGCCTGAACTGCACAGCGAGAACCTGTCTCAAAAGACACACACACACACACACACACACACACACACACACACATACACACACACACACACACAGAACCGAAGTGCTAGGCCAAGGATATAGCTCAGCGGCACAGTGCCTGCCTGACAAGCGCAAGGTCCTGAGTTCAACTCGCAGTACCAAAAAAAAGAAAAAAGAAAGAAAGGGGTGCTGCCCGGTGTGGTGATACACGCCTATAATCCCAGCACTTGGGAGGCTGAGGCAGGTCACCACAAATTTGAGGCCAGCCTGGGATACCTAGTGAGTTCAAGGCCAGCCTGGACTGCAGTGTCTCCAAAAAAACCAAAAAAGAAAAAAGGAACTGAGGCTGGAGCCAGATGTGATGGTACATGCCTTAGTCCCAGCACTCTAGCACACTGAGGCAGGAGGATCAAAAGTTTGAGTCCAGCCTGGGCAATTTAGCAAAATCCCGTCCCAAGACAGGATAAATATTTATAGAATGAACTACAGCTGAGGACCAGGGTCGGGTGTGTGTGTAGCTCAGTGGTAAAGCATTTGCTCAGCATGCAAGATCCCCAGCACTAAAAAATAAAACTGTGTTAAAAATCCCACTTGAGGCTATAATTGGGAAACTTCGCCAATCAGCCCTGCTCACTTTAAGCCAAAGCGGCATGGGAACCTGCTGTTCCACTGTCCACAGCTACCTGGTGACGGAGAAGGCAGGCCTGCCCCACAATGCTTCAGCAGCTGTGTGTGCAGTGTAGTAGAGCAGTTATATGGCAAGGCTTTGGGATTCCCTGTGTGCAAATCCTGAGTGTGTGGCCCAGGATAAGTTCTCTACCCGCAAGCCCGTTTCCTCACCTATAAAATGTGGACAATACAGCTGTCATAGAAATTAAATGAGATAATGCTTGTAAGGTATCTGACAGAGCCTAATGATAAGGTAGTGATCAGTTAGGTGTTTACTTTCATTTATTACTGTTGGATTTACAAAACCTAGAAATGGCTAAACAGTACAGACTAAAAAAGTTTTTTCTAATATAGTAGCCCTCCCTGCCTTTTTTTGAGACAGAGTCCAGTTATGTAGCCCAGCCTGGCCTCCAACTCCAGGCAATCCTTCTGCATCAGCCTCCCGGGTGTTGGGATTACAGGTGTGCACAACCATGCTCAGGGCTATAGAAGCTCATTTGATACAGCCCCTTTGATTCCTCAAGTGACCTACATGGCAAGTGGTAAGGACATGCCCTGGAGACCCCCTCCCACCCCATAATTAACTGACATTCAGACCTGAAGATCCCAGGTAAGAGCAACTTCAAGCCAGGTGGAGAGCAAAAGTCAGAGGTGAGAGTCACACAACTCCCAACTCTGGATTCACCATGGGCAGCAGACTGTCCGGGGACTCACTTGGCACAATGCAGCACCCAAACCCACAGATGGGGTAAAGGACCACAAACAGCACTGGAGGGCATCTAGACGTAGCTCTTGAAAAGTGTACCAAAAAGGGAAGCCAGGCATGGTGACACAGGCCTGTAATCCTAGCACTTGGGAGGCTGAGGCAGGATGATAGGGAACCCAAGCCAAGTGTAACAGCACACACTTATAATCTTGACACATGGGAGGCTGAAACGGGAGGATGTCGAGTTGGAGGCCAGCCTGGCCTACATAGCAAGTTTGAGGTCAGCCTGAATTACATACATATTGACCAAAAAATAAAGAAAGCAGCCAGGTGTGGTGATGGATGCCTGTAATCCCAGTAATCAGGAGGCAGAAACCTGAAGATTGAAAGTTTGAGGACAAGCCTGCACTACTTAGGTGAGTTTAAGGCCAGCCTGGACTACATAGCAAGACTGTGTGTGTGTGTGTGTGTGTGTGTGGTGAGATAGACAAAAAAGGAAGGAGCAAGCCCAGCTGTCCAACAGACCTGTGAGGAGTACAGTGTTCCTTCACAGCAGAGCTGTGCACAGCTGGTGCACAGGCTGATGCCCTCAGGTGGATGCACAGGCTGCCACTAAGATGCATCCTTCTCAAGGACGCAGTGAGACTGGACAGAAGCCTGGTCACCGAGGGCGCCTGCACACAGCTGCTGGCATCACAGCTCAACAGGAGGAAAGTCAGGACCACAACTGTGACATGTGCCCGAGTATTCCTGGGGCCCTAGCACTGGCTTGGGCTATCAAGAATCCACATAACCAGCATCCCCGAGCTCTGCTTTGCCCAAAGCTGTAGTCTCAGAAACTACGTCCCCAGACAGGGCTTCCAAATGCTCCCTAACCCCTAAGCTGAAGAAGGGCTCTGGGAGCTCCCGGTAGACAGTTCCCCAGAGCTGCCTGCAGGTTCGGCCAACACCTCAGCCTGGCATTCACACCTCTCCATATTCCCTCAACTTACTTTTTTCCTCCCCTCCCCTCAACCCCTGCTCCAAGAACAGCTCTCATACTGAACACTCCACAACGCCTCTGCTGCTCTGAGTCCCTTAACTCTGAATTCCCCGTCCCAGCCCGACACTGTCAAGACCCAACATCCTCGAGGTCCTGGCTCCACATGTTGCCCTCCTCTCACCAGTTCTTCACTAACACAGCTCCTGTTACTGGAGAGGTGACTAGAATGACAAAATCGAGGCTTCCCTTTTCTGACTTGTGTCACCAAGTAAGGCTGCGTGTACCAGGCTTCCTATCCCTTTCTTAAAGTACTGTAAGGTCTCTGAGACCTAAAAGCCCATCGCCCACATGAAATTTTCTGAAGCTCCTCCCCACAGTACCTTCTTTTCCGATTAACATACTGTCATATAGTCAGTCTTATTTTACCAACTCACTTACTTTCCCCTTTAGGATACAAATTCCTCCAGCGCCACATTTTATTTGGCCTTGGCTGGCGCAGGCTGCGAGTTCAGTGAGGGAATACAAATGAAGGAGCCAGTTCTGTAGGTCCTCAATAAATAGCCACAAGACAGGAGCAAAGTGGTGGCAAATGTAGCCTGGGGACACAGAGAGCTGGACCCAAAACCAGTCTCTGGCTTGTGGAAAAAATGACCCTGAAGAGTCAAATTCTAGCTCAGGTTCGTTATGTGTACAGTGGGGTCAAGGACAGCATGACTCCACATGAATTCAATGAAAATCGGCACAAAGCCTCATCCCAAGGCCTGAACCTTGAAGCGCCAACTTCTACTTTATTGTCCTCCTAAGTTAAGAAGAGGCTCCCAACCCGACTGAATCAAAATCACCTGGGTAACTTACATATAGGGCCTCCAAAAACAGTGCTCAAGGACCTGCCTTTTAAATGATTACTATTATTTTATTTTTGAGACAGGATTTGGCTAAATCGCTAAATTGCCCAGGCTGGGCTCGAACTCGCGATCCTCCTGCCTCAGCCTCCCACACCTGCTCTCCCAACCCTGGAGAGGGTCTCCATGTAGTTCAGGCTGGTCTCGAACTCTGACGATCTTCCAGCCTCTACTTCCCGATTGCTGGGATTACAGGCGGGCGCTACCGCGCCCAGCAACTCCTGACTTCAGTTTCCCCAGGTGACCTGCTAGCGCACAGGTCTGCGGACTGGCTCGCAGTGCCAAGTCCGTACAACAGAAACGCTCCATTTTCCAGGCTTGGAGACCAGTTCAAGACCAGGTCTACTAATTCACTGGACAGTCGACTATAAAACGGAGGTAATAACCGGCAAACCCCACGGGCTCGGCAGAGGCCGAAGGCTCGGGGGCTGCCCATCCTCCACCTCCCCGCTGCCCAGGGCGGCTCGTTCTCATCAAGCTGGGCACACCGCGCCGGCCAGGCGCCTCCGGTCCACCACCCCAGCCCCGCAACCAGCCCCGCAGCGCCGGCCGGAGGTTGCCGCCCCGCTCCCGCCGGCTTCCGCCGCGGTGTGACGCCCCCAGACCTGGCTTTCTGCCGCGCACGAGCGGGGAGCAGTTCGCTCAGCCTGGCTGGAGCTCGGCGCCTCTCCTCTCTAGGCTTCCCCCTCCCGGAGGGCAGTGCCCGCCCCAGGCCTCACCATGGCGACTGCTGTGCCTCCTGGGCACCGGCTTGGGCTCTCTGGACCCTCGGCCCCGGCTCAAGGGCGATCGGCAGGTCAGAGGTTAAGAAAGGCGTCAGACAGCGCGTGCGCCAGGCCGTGCTGGGCATGCGCGTTGTCATGGTCCCAGGACCCGGCACGGCCGTGACGTACGCGGGGCGGAGCAGAACCTCCTTGGGGGTGGAGCCCGCCTTGGATTCAGAGGGCTACTGGGCCTGCGTAGGGCGGGCGTAGGGCGGTCCCAGACCCTGGCTCTCTTGCAACTAAGTAAGGAGCAAGGATTATTACAAGTGAGTCAAACGTGGGGCTGTTTATTCCCTTGACTTCGCTAGAATATTTAGGACCAAAACATATAAAATAGACAGTATGAAGTAGGATGCCACATTCTCCAGAATACTTAAGAAAACGAGAAACTTCAAAATAAAGTTCCTATGAAATACCTGAGGCTCCTTTCTTCCTCCAAATCTGCCCTCAGATGACATTCACAGATGTCTACCCGAGCCCCCTCACTGTGCTGTGGCATACCCTCTATTCTTTCAGTTTTCGGTTAGGGTTTGTTTTGAGATAGAGTCTCACTATGTAGCTCACGCTAGTCTCAAAGTTGCTCTGTAGTCCCCACTGGTCTGGAATAGGCTTATACCGCCATATCCAGCTTCATGTGTTTTTAGTAACAGTTCTTTTGAGACATAATTCACACACAATTTGGCTCAACAATTTATTTTATTTATTTGTCTTTTTGAGACAGGGTGTTCGTATGCAGTTCAGGCTGGTCTGGAACTCAGCAATCCTGCTTCAGCCTCCTAAGGCTGGGATTATTACAGGCGTGTGCCACCACATCCAGTCTTTATTTGTGAGATGGAGTCTTACTGTGCTGACCTCAAACTTGCAATCCTTCTGCCTCAGCATAATCCAGTTTTGCCACATCTGGCCTCAGTTTACCTTTTTATTGTTTATTATTTATTTATTGTGGTTTTTGAGACAGAGTCTCACTTTGTAGTTTTGGCTGCTTTGACACTTACAATAATCCTCCTGTCTCAGCTTTCCGAGTGCTGGGATTATAAATTTTCTCTACCACATCCAGCTCACCTTTTTAAAGTCCGTAATTCAGTGCCTTTTAGTATACTCACAGAGCCGTGCCATTATCACAACTGTCTAGTTTCAAAACTTTTTTACCACTCATTAGCATTCTCCAACCCCTCCCCACCTCCAGCCCTCGAAACCACTAATCTGTATCTCGAACCTATGGATTCCAGTTCTGGACTTTCTACGGACATGGAATCAGTACTATACATAGCCTTTTGTAATTGGTTTATCCCATCTGTTCTTTTGAGACAGGGTCTTGGAAATGTCATACAGGTTGGTCTTGAACTCACTGTGTAGCCCAGGCTGGCCTCAAACTCATGGCGATCCTCCTGGTTCAGTCTCCTGAGTGCTGGAATTACAGGCATGTGCCACCACACCCACACCATGCCTGGCTACTCTTTTAGTTTTATATTCATTGTTTATAGCCTGTTCCCTCTCACTACAGTGTGCATTTTCAGTGGTCTGTTATCTCCACTCTTGACTATCAAGGACCTGCCGAGCTGGCTGGTACAGGACCAGCACTCACAAATGTTTGCTGAATGGGTGAAAGCAGGCTGCCTTGGACTATGCTGTGGACCACTGCCCTGCCTTCCTTTCTTTTCCTCTAGCTCTCCAAATTCCTTCTTCCCTCACGCTGCCTTTCCTTTTGTCTGAAACATTCTTCTCCTAGCTCCCTCTTTGGCTGGCTCTTTCAGGTCTTAGCTCTGAAATTAAATGAGAGTCATCTTCTCAGATCCCAGAACACCCTGGCTTACCCTTGCATCTTTTGTTGTTACTGTTCTTTGAGACAGGGTCTTGCTAATGTAATCAGCCTGGCTTTGAACTCACTATGTAACACAGGCTGGCCTCAAACTTGTAGCAATCCTCCTGCCTCAGCCTCCTGAGTGCTGGGATTATAGATGTGCGCCACCACAGTCTCCTGGCATCTAAATCACATCCTTTCGCTAGTTTTTTCTTCTCAATGGCTCTCTTAACACTCCCCTCTCCTGCAGATAGTCAGGGCTCCCCTGTGACTGAAGTTATATTAAACTTAAGCTCCCTGAAAGACCTTTCCTGTATATTACTGTAAGCTAGTACACCTAGGCTGTTGCTGGGCTCCTGAGTGCTGAATGAAATGAAATCCCAGCAGCCTGCATCTAAAAAGCCTTAGAAGCAAAGTGAGGCTGGAACCGGAAGCACAGGGCCTAACCCCTCTCTACGCCTATCCTCAACCTCGTTGCAGTTAGAGACCAGAGAACACAAAAAGTGGCCAGCTTAGAAAAGTTTAATGGCTGAAAATATCCAGGTGTGCGCAGGCTGGTCCCTGTGGAGCTCACACTGCACCAACTGGGCAATCAGTTTGGTGAGGCCCCTTTTCCAGGCATCAAGCCTGGGAAGCAGGGCAACTGGTCCCAAGCCTCTGAGGCTGGAGCTGCTTCAAATGACTTGGGGGTGGGGGGCTGCTTCCCATAGTCTTGTCTGGAACTGGGCAACAGGCAAGATTGGTTGGCGAGTGCTAACTGAAAGTGCTGGACAAAGCCAGCCCAGGCTGGGATTGGCCGGGGTCAGTAGAAAGAGTAGAGAGACAGGGAGCCCAGGGCCTGCCCCGGGGACATGCTGCAGATCCCTCCCTACCCGGTTCACATGCTAGCAGGCAGCTGAGGAGAAGCAGCTGGTCCTACAGAAAGCAGAGGTGCAGGGAATCTCCAGGAGTTGCAAGTGGGTCCATGGCCACACAAGTGCCCGAAGCCCACAGGAAACCAAGGCTTCTGGGATGAGGTGTGCCAGGGCAAGAGAGGCATCTTCCAGTCTGGAGAGACATGAGGCGTGCAGGGGCACAAGGTGGTTCTAGGAGGTGGCAGCAACAGCTGTAGCCAGAGGTGACTGGTGGGCAGGCTAGTCCTGAGGTGATAAACCAAGAAGCAGGAGGCTGTGAAGAGGCCTGGCGAGGGAGCGGGCATGTGCTGCAGTAGGCACAGGTGGGGCAGTGCTGCCAGCTGGACAGGCTGGGCCCATTTGCCATTTACTCACCCATTCATCCTCGTCCACCCCTTCAAAGGAGTCCTGTGGCAGCGGGTCCTCTCGGTTCCCCAGCTTTGCCACCATGGCATTCAGTAGCTACAAAGGTGGACAGGAGAACTGAAAGGAGCAGGACTCACTGACCTCCAAATCATCACACCCCCATAGTTTTAAAACTCCACAGTGTTGTGAAAAGTCTTTTCAAGTAAAGCCCTGGCAAAGTTGATGGGTTTCCATCGAAAAGGCCACAAGGGCTGCGACAATGGGCACCCTGCCACATACCTATAATTCCAGCCACTGGGAGGCTCAGGTAGGGGGAATCACAAGATAAGGCCTGCCTGGGCTACCGAAAGGATGGTCTCAGCAGTTTAAACAAAATTTAACTGATTTAAAAAAAAAAAAGGCTGGCATGGTGGCACATGCCTGTAAACCCAGCACTCAGGAGACTGGGGCAGGAGGATCCTCATGAGTTTGAGACCAGCCTGGGCTACAAAGTGAGCTCGAAGCCAGCCTGAACTGCATAGCAAGACCCTGTCTCAAAAAGACAAAAAAAATAATAATAATTATTATTATTTTGGGGGAGGTGTTTTGAGACAGGGGCTTGCTATGTAGTTTAGGCCGGCCTTGAATTTGAGGTGAGCCTCCTACCTCAGCCTCCCAAGTGCTAGAACTACAGGCATGCCTGGCAAAATTATTTATTTAATTTTTTTTGGTACCAGGAATCAAACTCAGGACCTTGCACTTGCCAGGCAGACACCTGTGCCACTGAGCTAAATTCCCGGCCAAAATTAAAATTTTAGAGGGCTGAGGATGTAGCTTAGTAGGTAGAATGTTTACCTAGCATATGCAAGGCCCTGGGTTCAATCCCCAGTATAGCAAAAAAACAAATAGAGACGGGAGTTAGAGACAGAGACTATGGCATGGTGCCTCTGTCAGGTGCCACTGTCTCAAAGGCTCAAATGCACACCAGGGTCCCAAACACACTTTGGTCCTCAAACTCCAGCTTTGGGTGTATGAGGCTTGTCCAGGCTGCAGCCTCTCACTGCCCTCCCTGGCTTGGTGTGCTCTGGGGGCAGCATATGCAGAGACCTAGAAAGTCTCCCCACAAAACTCAGTGGACATGTACGCAGCTCCTCCTCCCGTCTGGGTTGCAGCTAGAGACCTGAAGGACAACCAACCACGTCCAGGACCCCATCTTCTCTGTGCACAAGGGCAGCTCTCCCGTGCCTACCTCTTCCTTCTTTTGCTGGTCTGACTTCTCCTCCAGGAACTGCACTGAGGATGGGGCTCGCCGGGCAGGGGCTTCTCGGGGGGCTTGGCTCACTGGGGTGTGGCAAGGATAGGCATCAGACAGTGCTCTGGGTGGGAGCTGCTTGGTGCCACCCCTAGGGGATTCCCTGGCAGAGACCCAAAGGGCATTCACAGCTACTGAACACTCTGCTCAGGAGGCCTGCACTGGGCAGCAGCGGGTGTGTTGAGTATGTGTATGTTGGGGGTGGGGTCTTGGATGGAAACACAGACCACAGACCCTGTGCTCCAGAGGCTCAGAGATGGTCTGGAGACATGGCCCTCCATCCTTAGGTGAGTCAGAGATCTCAGGACACCAGCAGGGAGAAAGGACTGGAGTCAGGCTGCCTGCCCCCTCCTCCAGCCCTGCCTAAACTCCCCTGCTTCCTCCCCGTACCCATCCCCATATTCTACCTGGGGTCATGCCAGGGGGCTGCAAGCTGAGTAGCTGGGGTTGTCCGTTAGCACCTCCCAGCCAGGCCTTGGCAGTGAGCACTGGCTCCCACCTCACAGCTGTGTCCGGGAACACATCATCCTGGAAGAACTCTTTCTGCAAGGGTGGAAGGGGTTATCCTGAGACACTGATCAAAGGCTAGGGCACCCTGGCATCCAGACCTGGTACCCCCCACTCACATACATGCTGGGGTTTCTATGAGTTTTAGAAGCTCAGCAGAATAAGGTGGCAGGTGTCACAAAGAACAGAGAGCAAAGAGGTTTGGAGGCAGAACCAGAGAGAAAATGAAGCCCCTGGCCAGTGCTGAAATGGGGACTAAGTGC